TTAATTGGTTACAACATGGAATATCTCGAGATCCTGACCAGATAGAAAGTTACTGTCTTTGCCAAAGTAGTTCTAGAGATCATAACCTTTTTGCTGGTGGACAGTAGTTCAAAATTTACTCACTACATAGCGCTAGTATACATGTGAAGTTCTCGCATGTGATATATCTCGAAATCCTGACCAGATAGAAAGTTACTGTCTTCGAAAAAGTTGTTCAGGAGTTCAAAGCCTATAGCTCAGAATTTTTTCACTATATGGTGCTAGTATATACGTGAAATTCTCATATAAAATATCTCGAAATCCTGATCATATAAAAAGTTACTGTCTCCGGCAAAGTTGTTCAGGAAGTCAAGGCCTTTTTGCTGGTGGACTTAAGTTCAGAGTTTTATCACTTTGCAACGCTAGTATACATGAGGAATTCTCGCATATAAAATATCTCTAGATCCTGACCAGACAGAAAGTTACTGTCTTCGGCAAAGTTGTTCAGGATGTTAGGATCTTTTCGTTGGTGTACAGTAATTCAGAATTTTCCCTTTACGTGGCACTAGTATGCGGGTCATTTAGAGATATTTTATATGCAAGGATTTCACGTGTCTTTCAACGTCACCTAGTGAGAAAATTATGTTCTTTCCACCAACGATAGGGTTTGATCTCCTGGACAACTTTGCCGATTACAGTACATTTTTAGCAGGTCTTGAGATATATCATATGTTAGAATTGCACGTATATACTAGTACCATGAAGTGAAATATTCTGAACTACCGTCCACTAGCCAAAAGGCCTTGATCCCCTGAACAACTTTGCCCAAGACAGTAACATTCTATCTTGTCATGCTCTCTAGATATTTTATATGAGAGAATTTAACGTGTATACTAAAACTACATAGTGAGAAAACTCTGAACTATTCTACACCAAGCAATAGGCTTTGACCTCCTGAACAACTTTTACAAAGACAGTAACTTTCTATTTGGTCAGGATCTCGAGATATATCATATGCGAAAAGTGTATATGTATACAAACGCCACGTGGTGAGAAAATTCTGAACTACCAGTCGAAAAGTCTTGACCCCCTGAACAAGTTTGCCCAATACAGTAACTTTCTAGCTGGTCAAGAACTCGAGCTATTGTATATGCGAGAATTACACGTATATACTAGCGCCTCGTAGTGTGAAATTTCTGAACTACACCACCAACGAAAAGAGCTTGACTTCCTGAACAACTTTGCTGAAGGCATTTACTTTCTATCTGGTCAGGATCTAGAGATATTTTATACACGAGAATTTCACATGTATACTAGCACCACGAAGTGAGATAATTCTGAACTATTGTACACTAAGAAATAGGCTTTGACCTCCTGAACAACTTTGCCGAAGACAGTAACTTTTTATCTGGTCAGGATCTCGAGATATTCCATGTTGTAACCAATTAAGTCAATCCCACGTAGTATGGACACCGTTTAGGCGGTTTCCATTTAAATTTTCTCTAGTATCCGCATTTTGGGGGTTAATTGTAATCAAAGTTTAGCTTTTTTAGTTCAAAACAAGTTTTTTTGAGGAATACAAGTTGGTTTCAGATCGATTGGCAGCAACAAAATGGCAATGGAAAACTCATATGTGTTGTACAAAGTACAACAGCGCGAGTAACGGGGGGTTAACTTTTATGCACACCGTAAAACGGGGTGTAATTGATCAGCGCGGCAAAATTGATCGCTGAAATTTCTCGTGATATTTTTTCATGTGTAACATGTTTTTCGTTACTACTACTATTATGCATAAGTACAATATTGGGTATACTCAGCGATCAAATTCACCCCGCTGATCAGTTTCACCGCGTTTTACGGCACCTTCTTTGAAAATTTTCCCACCTAGCCGGACCTAACAAATGCGAGATAGGACGAAGTGACCGTCGTAATTAATTTTAGGCTCATAGGTTGAAAGAACTTCAGCATGTCCAAAATATATTCGTTCCCATTCAGTGTGTCCAAAATATATTATGGACACTGTCCAAAATCAAGTGGAAGGGTCCAAAATATGTGAATATCATGATGTGAAAAGAATTATTTTTCGAGTATATATCAATAAATAAAACATCTAGTGACATTTTACATCCAAGATGAGTAGCTTTCAAACACAACCGCATGTAAATTGCATAATAATAATAAACAAATAAAATTATTTTGACATAAACGTGATCTCACTTCCTCTAGGGGTCCAAAATCAGTTGGTTACCCTACTGCACACACTTGAAATAGCTCTAGAAACTAATTTTGAAATTGAAACAGACTAGTTAGTTAGCGCCAAAACTGATTTACATACACACCAAAAAAATCTGAATTTTACTGGCGATGTAAACATCCATGCATGCAAACATTCAAACATGTAAATTGCCTTTTCACGTAAACTAGCAGCTTGCAAGAAATGTTGCAAACAAAAGTGGACAGTTGCATACAATATATGGATTATTCCATGACATGTCTCATAAATTTACACGATCTATAATCTAAACTTGTATGATATATGACGCTCCATTTATGTGCATCATAGTAACGGAAATTTACACTACTTTTTTTTTTAGCTGTGTAGGTAGCAAAAGCTTATGACTTTGTCCCGTTCAGTAAAAGTTCATTCAGGATGAAATAAACCTTTCAGTTGAGTTGAGAGCATTGATAGATTCAATTAATAAAAAATAAATTGAATGGATTGATTTGCACGTAGAAACTGATAGAATTTTCTCAATCAAACAACCACTGCACACCATTCGAGCTCGGCAATCATTCGAGTAGATAAGCGTTACCATTTAGTCTAGATCCTATCCAATATATTTCAGTTCTTGTCGGTTTTGGTACCTGGTGTTCGTTGAGTAAGATAGGAAAAATTTTAAATTTGATATTTACGTTACAAACTACCACCATCACCGGCTATTTTCTCTCTTTAAATTTCGTTTAAAACTGATAGTTTAATTACCTTCCCATTGATTCCTCTGACTCATATGCATTTCTGCGTAAACGGAAAAAGTTCCGAAACTTTAAAGTATAGGCCATTTTCACTGCTCGAACAACAAGCCACAATTTGATGTGTGTATAGTGTGTGTAGACTAATATAACGACCCTCGCGATGATGATTACGCTGCTCTTTAGATACAAGAAAGCAGTTCATCCCCCTATTCAGTTCAACGAGATCTCAATCCATGTGTGTGCGCGCACTGATGAAGCGCACTAGGGTGGGTCAAGTTTGTATGGTGGATAACAACTCTCTGCTCCCCACTGCTCTTCCCCAGCAACTGTGCTAAATTTTGACGAATTTGGTTACGATCTGGATTAGCGGGAGAATTTTCATGTATGTATGGGAATTAGAACGAAACTGTTCAGTTGTTTGTCAAAAATTCAAAAATTGCTCAATTTTGACCAAACCTGAGACTAAGATTGGAAAAACTTTTCAGAAATACTTTGTTTAGGTTGATCGCAGTTCAATTAGACTTCTGTGCCAAATATTATTGTTTTAGTTTATCTTATAAACATTCAAACACACAACCCACAGATTATTAAGAAATTATCTCACTTATCTTTCCCACATGCGGACTTGAGCAAATTTGTTGGAATTTTCATTAGTAAGAAAGGCCAAATCTTAACATATGTGGATACATTCTGTATTTTTTTTCAAATTTCATGTGAAATATATTTTTCAGTACTCTAAAAATAATAGCATTAATTTGGAAAAGATTGGATTGATCAGTACCAATCGAGGAAAAATAATAAAATTATTATTTTGAACGATTTTTCAAAACGTGAATTTCAGGAAATTAATAAAAAAAAATCGTACATCTCAGTTGTTTGAAGATGTATAACTTTTATGTCTTAGGCAACGTTCATAAAATGCTGCGTTCTACAACTTTACCCAAGACAGCAAACCTCTTTAAATCTTTATGGTGCACATATTTTTGCCCAAGCAACTTAGTATCTATATCTATGTAATCAACCATAAATCAAGCGTAACCATTCAAATAGACGTACCTGATTTTGGAAACAATCACAATCGACGATTTGTGGCAACTGTTAGCTAGATTGTTTACAAAAGCAGATACGTCGATTTGAATAGTTACGCTTGAAATGCCTTAAATGTATTTATTTACTCTAAACATAAAAATGGAGCAAAATATTACAAAAGCCTCGACAAAATTGCCAACCTATTGAATTCACTGTGGAAAAACATTATTTTCGAGTGTTAACATAATAGCTACAAATAGACTGAAAACTCATCAAAGTTATGTGTAAGTTATGATAGTTATAAATCTTATATGAGGGATCCTGTGTATGGAATCAGTTTGATTGCAAATGCTTGGAGTTTTAAGAAATTTTAATGTTTTCAACTAAGGTCGAACTTTTCCTCCACCTTACTGTACCTATCTACCCCATAAAAAGTTAACACTAGTGGGGAGATTGTTAACTCAACCCACCCTAATGTACACGCTGCATCAAGTAGGTAATTAAACTACTATAGCCGCACGATCAATGAAGACGTACGGTATGGTAAATAAACAAAACAGTAACCTTTTTCCCGATTTAGCCATTTGGCCGAAGATAATTACCGACTCGGCCCCGTCCGTGCCATGCCATGCCATGGCGCCGCTTATGTTTTCGTGTGTTTCGCTTCTAATCGACACTCCTTCACCGATCGATTGGTATTTTGAGTGTGAGAGATCGTCGGGAAGAGTAGGTATGTTCGATGATGATGTACGATCCAAGATCGATGTACGCTATAACGAAATGGAAAGTGGAACATGAACTTTTGATTATTGTTTCACCGAGGCCATTTTCGCGCTTGTGTATTATGATGAGATTTATCAACGAGGGGATTTTCTTCGGTAATCTTTTCTTTCTCTCCTCATTTGCTCTCTGATCCGATGCTTTGATGGGAGGATTAATCAATGCTGATGTCGAAACTTTTGCTTTCGTTTCATTAATTTTGTTTTTGTTTTGCTTCTTTTCCAACGACTCTTCCGCAGGTCAAATATTTGGGCAGTCAGTACGCGAGAGGCTTGTGGGGAATTAAGCACACCAGGCGACCCGTAGATCATCTAGTAAGGCATTGATACTATCAACCGGGTTTTAAGGTCGTAGGTACTATCATTTTTCCGATTATTTTAAGGTCAGCGCAGCCAAAGCTCTTCCGCAAAACAAACTTCTTCCGTACTGCAACTTGACGGTGTCCCTCGAAGGTGTCCGAATGGAAACGATCACCTCCAAGCAGAGTTTGTTGACCAACTTTACGATCGACACGATATCCTACGGAGTTCAGGACCTCGTCTACACCAGGGTGTTTGCGATGATCGTGGTCAAGGAAAACTACAACCTCAAGGATCAGAATCCCTTCGAGGTGCATGCTTTCGTTTGTGATAGTCGGTAGGTTGTCCATCTGGAATTGTTATTTTACTTCTCATTGGATTACATTACAACTCTCCCACAGAGCAATGGCCCGCAGGTTGACATTCGCCCTAGCGGCGTCCTTCCAGGAGTACTCCAAGCGGGTGAAGGAAGCAGAGGAGCAGAACATGGGCAACTCGAATGGGAAGCCTCTGCGGAGAAAGTTTGCCATCGACCTGCGGACGCCGGAGGAAATTCAGCAGGACATCACCGAGCAAGAGACGGAAGCGTGATTTCACTTAAGTTTCACATTTTCTTTTGGTTATAATCTTCGTTGAACGAACGTGAAATCAGATAAAGTAACAGTGTTGCGACTAGTCGTTTTTTTTTTTACTATTTACGCATGTTAACATATTGACCATAAGATGAATAAGAGGACCAGAACTACTGACCCTGTTGGGGTCAACAGGATACACATACCAAAATCAAGTTTTACCTTTCAGCAGCAAAGATAGATTTAAGTGAAGATGAAGATGCTACATATTTGATTGTTAGTATGTTAGAGAACTAATGAGAAGATGCTATATTTTAATTGGGAACATTACAAAACAAATTGAGAGAAATTTATATTCAAAGTGATAAACTGGATGTGTGACACGAATGGAATTGCACTACAAATCTGTGAGTACTGTACTATATATTTTATGAGAGATGCCAAGCTTTTTAACTTTATTCATCCGAAAAGATCCATTCGAAATTCTGGTGTCAACGAAAAGCAAACAAAATCCACTGTGCGTTACTCTTGAATTTTGTAGATCTATCTCTAGTAAAAGTTTCGTAAGTTTATATGCTATATAGCAATGGGGCCAGCAGACTGCCTTGCAGAACTACTGCTGCGGTGAAGGAAGTGTCAGAAATACAAACATTCAGCGATACCTTAAACGACCTGTGCTGAAGGTAGTTATGAGTGATTTTAACAAAATGCGACGGACAGTTGAATTTAAAAATCTTGTACACAAGTCCGTCGAGCCATATATTGTCAAACGCCTTTTCAACGTCTAACAAACCTAACAAAACCATGGCAGTGGACTTGGATACCAGCGTTGCCAGATATACTGATTTATCGAAATTTATACCGATTTTCGAACTTGATATCGACGTACAGATATGGTTTGTTAGAATACTGATTTTTTAGGTTTTATACCGATTTATACCAATTTTTTTAATAATCGAAATGATTACCTACCCGAGCTGAAGTTTAGTCAATCTTCCCTTGGAATTTTGTTCCACCTTGCCCCGTAAGTTATTTGCTGAATCCTACGGGAAAGTTATTTCAACTTCACTTGTAAGTTTATTCTGGCTTCCCTCGAAAGGTTCTTCCGTCTTCTCCCGCCAGTTTTTCGTTCAACTTCCCCGGCACTTCAGAGATGCTTAAAGTGTTTTATTGCGGTTCCATTTTTGCTTCAGGAAAACTGCAGAAACTTTTAAGAAGATCTGAATCTTCAGAATAGTCCAGCCTTTTGGGTAAGTTTAAAAATCTTTCAGGGTAAGTCCCGTTAAATTAAAGAAAGATTTATTAAATTCGGTTAAAATTCGAGAACCCGAGAATTTCAGGAAAGTCCAGTGAGCTCCAATGAATCTAAGGAAACATCCTAAATATTTTGGAAACTTCATAATAGCAAAGCACTTCAGGAAAAAATAATGGTTTTCAGGACTGTTCCATTTTTTTCCTAAGAAATTCAGAGAACTTAGGAATGCTCTGAGAACAACAGAACAGATCAATTATTTAAAAGACATTGCTGGAACTTCAAAGGAGTTACGAGAAACTCTGCGATTTTCCGAAAACTTGAGCAAAGTAAGAGAAGTAACATGAAGATTAGAAAATTGTAAGATCATATTAAGGGAAGTTTCGAGAACTTTAAAAATTAAAAAAAAAACTAGAAGATCACATAACTTAAATGCTGATGTTCCACTAGTTTCAAGAATATTGTGAGGGCACTTAAGAAGTTCCGAAACCTTCATGAAAGTCCGGATACCTTCAAAGCAGATTAGAGATTTGCTGGTAGTTTCATTATAATCAAGGAAGTTCCGAGTACTTCGAGGATGATCAGAGCACTTTTAAACAGCCCCATAAACTTTAGGAAAATTGCAAGAACTTTCAAGGAGTTCTAAGGAACTATGTGCATTTCAGGAATGTTCAGGGGCATTGTTGGGTCTTTGGGGATGTTTTATAAAAATTAGGAAAATTACTCAGGATCATTAGAACATGTAAGGAACTTCAGGGAATGTTGTGCTAACATCCCCAAGAAATTTCATTCTTGTGAAAATTTTCCCGAACTTCTCCTTGAAGTTTATTTCGACTGATCCGTAAGCCCTTTAACTTCCAAATTTCTCGATACATCCATCTCCTTCAAATAACCAGAAAATTCACGGAACTCTACTCCTAATTATATCCTTTGAATCCTTGAAATTTCTTTGCAATTTTCATGACAATTAGAATCCATTGAAATTATTTTCAAAATTTTCATTGAACTTAAAAATTATACTCAGAGCACCCATTTTAATTCTACTTATAATATTTTTTGAACGCTTTTCTGAATTCATTTGGAATTCTCCTATAAATTTCCCTGCTAATCTCACGATTCACATTAAATTTTTCTCAGAATCACCGGGGAATTCAATTCAAACATTTCTTTCTGCTTCACAGAAATCCGTTGGAATTCATTTCAAAATTTCTCACATTATCTCAATATTATCTTGGAATGTTGGTCACAAGTCATAATTCCCTTAGAAATTCACTCATTTTGTTTAGCATTTGTTTGGAATTGACAGTCTAATTTCTTTTAAATCTTCCCCAAAGTTGGAAAGTATTCTCGGTTGTATTTAATATAAATCCTTAAAGTTTTAAATCCCTAAAAATTCATCTAAATTCAAAAGTATTGTTTTTTTTTCAGTGTGAAATTTGGAGTCAAAATTTTTCAAAACCTCTTTCTTTGAGTCCCAGATTGTGTAAACCACCAGCCTAACGATTTTCCCGTTGCATGTAAAATGGCTTAAGCACCACTCCCAAGAGAGACCATTTCCAATGTGTAGGTTGCCTGTAGGGTCTCATACCCTTCAGATTTGAGGTTCTTATTTTCCCAGTTTGGGCGGAAAACAAATACTGAAGCTACCCAGCTACTAAAATGCAAATGATGAGAGAGTGACCCAATTAACGAACGACCAGTGTGAAACTTAAAGAATGCGAACAGTGATCATCACGGGCCAAACCTCTTCATTCACTTCAAACCAACCCGTATCTGATTCGGGAGTGTTTCAGTTGGGTTCGGAGTCAACTTCTCCAGTAAAACATCTAAAAAATAAAATCTACAGCGAAATCCCGGTGATTTGAAATTCCTCCAACCAGATTCACTTTCCACTCATCAAGGCAAATTTAAAATGAACTTTTTGGTATTTAAAGGCTTTATTCAAACATTGCCTATGCAATTAAAAAAAAATCTTTTATTTCATTGGGTATTGGGTTTATTCACAGTATACACAGTACAGTATACATATATCAACAGTGAGCATGCATAAGGGCGTAAACGCGATGATCGATTCTCTTCGTCGATTTTCTCTTTTGTTAATAATTCGCTAAAATTAACGTTTCTCGGTGCGTTTGCTGTTGCTTTTGAAAACCAATACAACCTGTTACAACTCTGCATTGAACAAATTATAGCTGTAGCAATGCAAAGAGTAGAGTGAATATACCTTCAGGCGCACGCGCATATTCTGGTCAACTCAAAATTGAATCGAATGGACTCATCTCAGCGGCAAGTAGGGCTACTCAAAATTGAGTAGTTTTATGTTGACTCCTAGGGGAAGTACAACTTGATCTGCAGTAATATTTGGTGTAAAAATTGCTCAAATTGGTAATTATTATAATTTTTAGTATAAATATTAATGATATTAACTGTCAAGCGAACAGCTTCAAAGTAAAAAAATAACAGTGTAACTTTAACGCATACACTCAATGACGTTTCACCGTTGTTGTTTATGTTTACTGCAGCTTTCATTATTGCCTAGATTTTCGTTTTCGATAACTCTAATCGATTTCGACTTCGACTTTTCATGATAAAAACCGTACTGGACGTTCCTTCAGCAGCAAAATTGGCCAGTTGCAGGCTCATGGCAAATCGAGGTAATACGACCACAGAACCATCACTCTGGGACTCCGTTTACAGGGGAGGCGTAGTCAGTTGATTCCCGTTCCATCGGAGGACAGCACATTGATTCGCAGACGATGAAGCATTCGTGGAAATTAATGACTATTTTCTGGGACAGAAGTGCGACCGATTATTTGCACTGAGATCAGCTAACAAATAACGCCGAATTTTTTAGAACAAGGAGCGGATTTTGGTGGTGGTGGCCAGCCAGATCATCAAAGAATGACTTGCATCTGGTGTGAAATGTGTCAAATGTACACTTCAAACCAAAAATAGTCAAAAACAAAAAAACAACTGTCAGACTAAGTTTAAGATTCGCAAATATCACACATATTAAAATATTTAATATTTCCACCATCGATATTGATGCTGATACTTGGACCTGTCCTTCCCCTAGGTTGACTCACTTTTGAGTAAACGACGTCCTCACGTAGACTGATTCAAATCCACTCTGCAATATTTGGTTTTTATTTTGATTTTATTCAAGGAAATGAAAATTGTCTGGGCCGGATTCATTCTACCGCAGCAGAAAATGGTTCAACGCCATTGCCCTTAGCAATTCCTACTTACCTGAAGGAATTTCCGCCGGTGTTGAGTGAAACATTCGCCCGTTTTCAAGGACATTTCGTCCAACATGGTTGACCTTTTTTCCAAGTCCAGGATTTTGCTGACTGATTTGTTTTTTCAGTTTGACATTTCTCGTTTACTCAGTTTTTGACATGTCGAAACATCGGACGAAAGTGAGTACGATCAAGCCAGTGACAAGGGTGACAAGGCCTATACCACAAACGAAGTTACAGACGACTTTCTCCGAAGAAATGAATTAAAATAATGTGGTTCTCTGTAATAGAATTTTAGTCCACCTTCCGCCCCTCACCGCCAGGTTCGCTAGTATTTTTGTTTTGAATTAATTCAAGTTGGTTTTGTGTGCAATGATCTGGCAACTCGTGTCCTTGCTCGTGTTGACGGGGTACTGTTTTCTCACTCATCGAAGGAAATTTTGATTAGAGTGAGAAAGTAAGGAACAGTCAGTGCGGGAGCCGTGTGCGTTACTATAGGTGCGGCAGAAGGAATGTAGTCGACTCTGTCGTTCTCACGGTGTTCTTACGCATGATCCAACGTTTCGTCACACTAGATTATGCATAAGAACGTCGTGATAATGCAAGTGCTGGCTTGTTTCCTTCTGCCTCACCAATCACATTGATCACAGCACATACGATTCTCCGTCGGTTCGTGGTGCATTGTGCATTCTTTGTGCCATACCACAAGTCCAAACACTAGAAGTTTTGGAAGGTTCTCCCTCAGTACCTGTAAGCAGTGTGATACCAGCTGACATTCGCATGGGTAGAGAAATCCGGAACATTTTCTCACTTTTGAGCATCAACGTCAACCCGGTCTCGAATCGCATTTTCGCTTGAGGTGGCACCGTTGGCAGTAATCTATTGCGCCGTGGGAAAGACCTGCTTAGTGCACTAGTGCTGGAAAATTCTGCAAGTTCGTCATTAAAATTAAATCAACTTTTCTTCGCTGTAACGTACTCCGGATCAGACTCGCTGGTGGAACGTTTTCGTGGGACCCAAAAAGCTTCAGTTTGAACTGCTTTCCAAAAGATTTCTGGGCAGGCGTCTTGGGACGCACGATCTCCACCGAGGCATCCGTTAGCGTGTTCGTGTCGGAGCGGATGACCTGTTTGATCGGCTACAATTCTACCATCGATTTTCGGCCCTGCTTTTTGTTTAACTTCACACGATAGTTGAAATCGAACACGGTCGACGATCCGGCGGAGGATGCTTCGTCTTCATTCTCCGAAGAAGTCAACGATTTGATCTTTTCCGAGCTGAGCTTCTCGAGCCTTACGACCGGTTTGACTCGAAGTAATTTTTCGACGGAAGTTCCTCGTGGCAGTGGAATCTTCTTGACCAGTTCCTCCAGACTGATTTCTTCGCTTCGAAGAAACGAACGAGGAAGAACTAGATGAAGACGTGGACAGCCGTCATTTCGACGTTGGTTTCTTTCGTGTAGAAACCAGATCGGAATCGCTGTCGTCACTGTCTATTGCGGTTCGTCTTTTCTGAGATTTGCGTTTGGTCGTCAATGCAACTGACTCTTCAGAATCTGAATCATCCGATTCAATCTGACGTCTGCCACTAGATCGGCCCCTAGAACTCCCCTCTCTGCTATCGTTACCGGCTTCCGCCCATCTTGCTGCTTCCACTCTTCGGGAAGCCTCGGCTAGCTTCAAAACCGCTTCCGGCGTCTTTCGGGCAATCGGACGACAAAAGGTGAAAACATAGTTCTTCGAGGGAACCTCCATGCACTGATCTTGGCGACAAGTCGAACCGCACGTTGCACAAAGGATCAGATCCCAACGCTTGCAATCGTCGTAATCTCGCCCATACCGACAGCGACACTCTTCAGCGTCACACTCCGAAGGACGTTCCAACTGATCGTTGAATACATTCGGTTCCAGCTCCCACGAGGCATCCCTCGAACAATTAAAATAAAATATTCAGTATTCAAATACCGATTCACCCACCTCCGCCGCTTCACTTAATTTTCCGGAATATAAATGCCACGCTGATGGATCTGCTGACTAAAGTCGTCCTTGTTGCACAAAGGGCAATTGAAAAAGTACCTCGCCGATTGGGCAAACTGTGCCACGTAGCTCCGATGGAACCAGCCATTCTGACAGCACGGGGCACGAATCGATTCGATTCTAGGAGTGTTTCACCTTATCCACAAGCGCTACGTGCTTATCGCACCACGACTGGAACGTTTCCACGTAATGCGACAGGCACTCATTCTGCATCCCACAAAGCGTATGGAATGAACGGAAGCACTTCTTCGCGCAACACCAAACGTTTGCATACCGTTCCTTGCAGATGTAACACTTTTGTCCTCGGATACGAGCTTCCTCATTTCTGATGTCCTCCTCCATGAATCCGAAGATTCCCTCCTCGTCTTCAGGTAACAAGGTACACGTAGCAGGTATAATGACTAGTTTTGCCACGTCTAGTAGCCCGGTCCAGAATAGAGCATCGCACCATCGTACCGCAATCATGCTCAAACGCGTGACATACAGCATCTTTAGCCGAAATAAATAATAAATTGAACAAAATTGGTTTCATCCGATCCTCCTTCATTCTCACCATCTCACCTTCAGCACGTCGATCGATTCGATGGATTTCGGGATGATTTTGGAGTAAATTTTCCTCCTTCAGATCGCCCTCGTCGAGAGCTTTCAGTTCCTCTACGGAGGAGCAAATGCATACCGAGTATGGCCACCCGAAAAAAAAATAATTATAATAAAATAACGAAATTACAATGATTTTTACGGTTGAATTTCGGGCACATTATAAATTTATTGTTAAATTATTGGACGGGTGAAAAAATAAATTTCGTTTTAAAAGATACAATTCTCAATGAAAATTAATTTGATGAGATCAAATTTGTTCGAGAAAAATCAGTTTTTTTATTGTTAAGATGCTTAACAACCCCCTTTTTTACTGTACATTTCTCATATACCATGATTTTCGTTTTGATTTTATGATAATCAACAAAAATCTCCATTCAAAATCATTATATTTTTATTGGATTTTTTTACGGTCGGGTCCTGTTTGGCGTCCAACAACGATATCTCCTCGGTCGCGAATGACCATGGCTTTGGTTAGGAGCACCGACTGATGAAATCTTTAGCAACAATTGCCGCCAAAAAGCGCGAGTCATTGACAGCTCAACATTGTTTACTTGTAAGCAAATGTTAACCCGATGTGTTTACTCCTAATCATTTTGGCCTAAGGTCTTTCATTATACAAAAGAAGTGCAGATAACAATGAACACAACATAGTGACATGCAGTTTGACAACAGGCTCTCCCTTTCAATTTTCGTTAGAGAAAAAGAGATAACAGGCGGTGCCCCAATAGCATCAACTACTTTAAGCTAGTACATATGAGTAGATAGTGTTGCCGTGAGGTACACTCGAAAATTTCAAATGTAAGTGCGTCAAACCAAATTTCGAGCCGCTCCGTCTGTCACTTCGTTTGTGCCTATACCAACAGCAGCGTTTGACAGTAGGCAGCATGTCCCGGGCTCAAATCGTTTATTTTGCTGTGCTGGGCCCGCTGTTACTGTATAACATGTTACCTACGCGCCTGCCACTGGGCTGAGTACGATCGACTCACCCGGTGGGTAAGCTGAAGTTAGCGTGAAAAGTTCATGTTCATGCTAGCTACACGCAAACTTTAAAATACCCATTAATGGATAAAAAATAACTCATAATACACATAACCCAAAAGCAATAAATAAATTTGATTCAAGTTTCTATGAATGTCATGGTAGTCTAGGATCAGAAAATGAAATAAGTAAGTAATGTAACCATGTAACATCCGATATGTATCAATGGAGACGCAAGGTAGTCTAGTCGTATTGGAGTAATGAGCGAAATTTCTAAACATGATATTTTCAAAATATCGTAACTCAAAAACGAAAAAAAAATACATCGCTGGTTTTTGATATGTTGTGGAGAAAAGCCTAAATTTTCAAGGAAAAATATAGAAACATGTTACGCCCATTGTCTACAAACCATGAAAACCATAAAACAAATACAATCAAAGTTCTTCCGTTCTTCTATACAAAACTCCAATTTTAAAATTTATTATATTTTTTCTCAAAAGTATTTTTAGTAACCTTTCATTTGATATTATGATCATTCAAATTGGCTCAGTGTAATTTTTGGAAAAAAATTAAAACAATCGATTTTCTGGACCACCCTTACATGGAAATGGTCACCCTAATAAGAAAATAACAAAAATACCTGTTGTTATTAATATATTATTTAACGGTGCAGCACGACGAAGTAGCGCTCTTCCCTATGGTGTCTTCGGGAAAGTTTCTTGAAATTTAATTGTATAACCTTTTGGCACTATGCGTTTTTTTATTAATCTCCCTAGAAGTGAGATACAAAACCTATTTTTTCTATTAATCTATTTTGGTGTCTCCAGCAAAGTTGTGGAACTTATTACAAGAACGTTTGATACAGACACTAACTTTCTATCTATTTTTTAAAGTAAGGTAAATCGTGTTTTTCATATCTCCCATATGGTCCAAATTTCAGAAAAATCTGTTTAGACTAATTTATAACTTTCCCCTACCTGATGATGCTGTTGGTTTGCGTGGGTGGGTTATTCTTGCCGGAAATGGGTTTACAAATCTCCATTGAAACCCTGATTAAAACACACAATCATTCAAAAAACAGTTTCCAGACTTTATTTTCTCGCATTTTCTTTTACGTTCGCAAATAATAAATTAATTTACCTAAACCTACAACAACGTCAACGTTTGCTACCAGTGTGTGGACGGTAAATCGTCCAGCGTCCAGCGAAAAGGAACCATCCGTCGTCACCATCGTGCACTCGCTCGCTCACGTGCGCACCTTTGTATGCATCCATAGCGCCTCACGAGGAAATGGCATCCGCCTTGAATAGGAAGGTTTTCCTCCGCCTCAGTGCTGGCGGCACAACGCCCCTTCTAAGGTCGGCCACAGTCGAAACAATAAACTCGGGCAAGTCAATCGGGCGTGATTCTTCCGCAACCTGTTCGGCAAGGGTGGCAGTCAATGGGTGAACTTCGTTCATCACAGTCTCATTTTGGTCATCGGCAGGTGATTGCGCATCGGCTTCCGGAACCAGCTCTTGCTCACTGGAAGCTTCGACTGGTGCTGCCTCTGAATCATCTACTTTCTCATCGTCACCGTCGACGACTAAAACGACGGGACTTTCCGCGATGAGCGGTTCATTTACCTTTTGGTCACTTTCTTCCTGTTTATCGTCATTCAATTCAATTTCGGCGACAACGTTTTCTGAATTTGGCGCGGTTTCTTCGCTGCTCAGTGGCAATTCTGGTTCGTCTTCTTGCTTTGGCTCATTAACTGTTTCGCTATCTGATGGGCTAGTTTCAACGGAATTAGAATCTTCCTCTTCTTCGATTACTACATCATTGTTACTAATTGGCTCAACCGATTGAGGAACTTCTACTTCCGTGACTTCCAGCTGTTGCTGCTGTTTGTCTTCCTGCACATCCTGAACCACCGGCTCCGGTTCTTCAACATTTTGTACATCATTATGCAATTGAGATTGGAATTCCGGTTGAACTTCTTCAGTCAACACAGTCGCAGGTTCTTCATGCTCATTATTATTATCATCGGATTCAATTCCCAAAACAATTTCATTGGTTTCTTCGTCTTCTGACGATAATTCTGCCGTTTCATTCAAAATCTCTTCATCTACATTTGAAGATGCTTCGCTGGATTCGTTACTTTCATCATTAACCTCAACTTCCTGAGTGCTATCAATGGCCTCTTGGGGTACAATTTCCAAAGCCTCAGCATCTTGAACCTGTTCGTCCAGCACTTCTTGAGCCGTATTTTCCTTTTCATCTTCTTCCACGAGATCAAACTTATCGTCGTTCACCTGCTGATGATCGAACATATTCACATAGTTATCACTGATAGGCATGGCCACGGTACCGATGACTTTCTCGTCATCAGAAGCAGCATCCGTCATAGATTCCTCTTCTGGAGGAAGCAGGAACATTGATGGTGGCATGGCGGCAGCCGCACTAGGTTCTGCAGCCGGTTGTTCCTTGTTGGCACTGTCTACTTCGCTGGCGGTTTCCGTTTCTGCGTTGGAAGATTCCTCCGCGTCCGGATAGAACATGGCAGAGTCCTCGCAGGGGAAGCCTAGTTGTCCATCGTGCACGCAGGTTTGATACATTTGGCTGAATAAGGTCTTCTCAGCACAAATGAAACTGAAACGGGCTCGGTCCTGGCATCGGTGAAAAATCTGGAAAGAAACGTAAAATACATGAAGTTATCAAACTGTTCGTTAGGAGTCACACAACTGTGAGATTATTTTTTGCAAATTAAAAGTAATATGACATTTTAAATCTAGATTCATAGCTTGAATGAGTAATCTTTATAATAGTATACACAGCAAAAAAAGTTGTTGAATATTACATCGAAACTGCTGCAACCAGGTCAATCCATCGGTTGTGTAATATCACATTGTACGATGTACATCGATTTTGCGAACAAAATTACATCCATTGATGTAATATTGTATCTGCGTTTTGCTATTACATCATTATTTCATACATCAGCTTGAATTACGTTGATCGATATTACATTTTTTTTTGCTGTGTAGCTCCATGGGACTCGAATATTCATAATAACGGAGGTTTTAATTTATAGCTTTTAAAATCAACCAAATGATTGAGACGAAGGATTTTGGCACCATACAAATTTTGAAAATTTTAAACACAAACAAATTTTTGTAGGTTAAACCTCGATATTATGAAACTATGAGATTTTATAATAATATTTCTTACATGTAAGATGCAAGAGGAGGAGGTAAAGTTTGTGTATGACACATAAAACCAGTTGCTTTCAGAGGATCACAATTAGCTATTTTAGCTGTAATGAGTAATCGTCATGAATGAGTGCCATTCGTTATAGCCTGTTATAGCTAATCGCTAATTGTGACACTCTGGAAGCAAAATTGACAGATGTTATGTGTCATACACAAATTTTACCTCCTCTACTTGCATTTTACATATAAAAATTATTATTATAATATCTCATAGTTTCATAATTTCGAGAAGTAGTATTCTAGCTGTAATGAGTATGTTCAGGGTTGGACCTGACTACTAAAATGACCTGAAAAAGAACTGACATCACTGATAAGATTAAAACGTGGTGGCTTGCTTAAAATTTTAGTGGCACCACCATGATAAATGCGAGCACATTCCCTACTAAAACCTTAATTGTGAAGAATGTAATTATGAATGCTATGTCTGTTTGTCTGTGCCACTGATTTAATGACATTAATTACTACACAAATCCAATACTTTTAATCTCGCTTTTAATTACATTAAATACGGATAGTTAGCTTTAGTTACCGTCAGTACTACTTCAAAACGCATTTATTACTTTAAGTCGTTGAAAAGAGCTAAGAAGGATGCTCTCAGAAGATTTACTTAATTCCGCACACTACCGCTGAAATGCTACTATGTCAGACTCAACCACGAGTACCTATAAGCGGTTAAGTTGTCTCTGTTTTCAACGCTATCAAAGGAGGATTCAACGGCGGCTAAAATCACATCCGAAATCCTTCTGGAACTTCGTAAATGAGCAACGCACAGAAGTCGGCCTACCCTCTTCCACAGAGAACAGACATGGAGTCTCGAACAAAATTTCTCTAAAAACTTGTGTAAAGATTCCTATTCGACTTAAGCGCCACTAACGGCGACTTCCCCACTTAAAAACCCTCTTTGACAACATGATGGCGCTGGCGTTGCACAAATTACACTAGACACTAAGTGCTAGTAGCGCCAAGTGGCAATTTTCAACAGAAAATGTATCGATACTAGCGCCAAATTGGTCGAAAGTGGTAAATTTATAGAGAAAATAAGGAGATGCTAACACCACGTAACGGCGACGTTCCCATTTATTTTACACAAGTTTCTGGCCGAGCTTGAACGTCTGTTCTCTGTGCCTCTTCTATGATTTTTAGTGGTGAAACTATTGGCAATCAACAAGACATTGGTGGACATCTTTTGAGATGGTTTCGTTCATACCTCACGGAGCGCCAACTGACAGTTACTTTGGGTACTTGTCGCTCAGCAAGCTTCTGCGCTAAGTCACAGAGAACAGACGCCAAAGCGCGGTCAGAAACTTGTGTAAAGTTAAGTGGAAACGTCGCCGTTACGTAGCGCTAGCATCTCCTGATTTCCTCTATAAATTTTGCACTTTCAGCCAATTTGGCGCAAGTATCGATAAATTATTTATAGAAAATTGCCACTTGGCGCTACCAGCACTTAGTGTCTTGGTTTTGAAATCCAAAACCACAAAAGTGATGATGTATTTAAAAATATCCCATACGATTTGACAGCTAGCAAAACGTCATTATCATTTTCACATCATTTCCATCTGCTGGCCGACCGTAACGTAGATTCATCAATTGGAAGATTGCCGCAAAAGCTCAACGCAGATGTCGCCACTGCATGATGATGATAATGTTGACAGACTGCATATAAAATTCGTGAAAAATAGCATTAAATCATAATTTTCATCAAGCCTGCGTAAAATCCTTCCAATACAACATTCGAATTGAAGAAGAAAACGTTTTTACGATCAGACTGATGTGCATCTTTGACTTTTCCAGATAAACTTTCATAAGATATATTCATTTCATTTCACGGCTCCATCAATGCTGCATCGTAAACATGATGTAAACAGAAGTAAATTGCTCAATTACTCCAAATAAAGATGATTTGTCATCTTGTTATCACTTTGAAGACCATCCAGCACCATTTCATAGTATGGTGCTTGTTGAGTAAATCAAGTTCCGGTGCGTTTTCCGTCGAAAATTGTGAGTATCAATATGTTTGCTTAAAAACGGCCAAAATGAACATTTATTGAATATTGGCGTCCTATACAACCATTTCTCCATTATCACCAGCATGATACAATCTTTCCTAAGTAAATTAACTTAATTTCCGCTTTCATCTTAGTGGACATCGTTCATATTTACCATTTTCTGAAAAATGCAGCTGCGCAGGAGGTAACCTCTTCCTGTGGGTGCAAACTTGTTATGCATAATTTTCCATGAAAACATCTCCGATCCATATCGAAATAATAACAGTTAGTTTGCAAACACGTTTTCTTACACGATTCAAGCAAAAGTTTCCACGGGAAATAATTAGTTTTTCTTTATGGACCGATTTGCCCCAAAAATCATGTGTTTTACTTGGAGAATTCAGAAAGTATCCTCCTTCTAGTAGTTCTCACTTCGAAATGTAGGTGGCGAAAGCTTGGAAAAGTTTCACTGCAAGACTTCAATTGGAATGTTGTATTGGAAGGATTTTACGCAGGCTTGATGAAAATTATGATTTAATGCTATTTTTCACGAATTTTATATGCAGTCTGGCAACATTATCATCATCATGCAGTGGCGACATCTGCGTTGAGCTTTTGCGGCAATCTTCCAATTGCCTGTTTCCCTTTGGATAATTTTGCATCCATACAACAGTTCTCAGTTCGAAATGTAGGTGGCGAAAGGTCGCAAAAGTTTCACTATAAAACTGGTAGCCCGGTCGTGCAAAGCTTGTTTGACAGTTTTCTTTCAACTCAAACTCGGACGCTGAAGCCCGACACCTCCAGAACGTAAAAAAAAACGCGCCTTTCGCGTTGATCGGAACATTACATTTTGGTGGCGTGCTCTAAAAATCTAATTCGTATTTTTACTTTTTGGCGTTCAGTTCCTTCGTTCCAGCCTAACAAAAAAGGTAACGTATAAAATAAACACATTTCGTAAATCGATTATCACCAAACTTGGAACCGTTTCCAGCATGGCTTACAACGATTTCCGTATGCCCGAGCCACGCATCTACTCGCACCTAGATCTGTATCCCGGCCAGTGGGACTCTCGATGCAGTCCCCAGTTTCCGCTGGCTAACTTCTGGCCCGTCTATGTGGGCAACTTTTGGTGCGATGTGTACTTGGAGCACGCCACCAAGGTGCAGGAGTACTTCGCCTCCAAGGGGCTCTTAGTGCGGATGGTTTTCGGTCGCAGCGCGACGGACGATCCGCACTTCGACTATCAGCGCATATTCCACCTGTACGACTTTTTGGTGTACTTTGTACGTCCGCAAGACGCTGATGATGCGATTTCCTACTGCCACCGGGAGATGTACTACGGTCACCGGTTGAACGTTTTTCCGGGTGAGTACAAGAGGAGCTCTTTAGCTACGGGAATATAGGGAACACTCTGATAGGCCAATAATATTATGTTGAATTCTTTCTTTAATTTTTGTTTTTTTTAAGTTACGCGATTTTAAATTAATTGTAATTTATTGCTAACAAACGAGAACCTGCCAGTTATACACCTATACGACAACCTATGTTAAAAAAGACGAGGTATACGTATTTGTTATGAGTATGACAGTAGTCTATCTATTTTTAGATGGATTAACTGAAAATCGACAGTGAGCATTCATAAGGGCGTATACGCGATGATCGATTCTCTTCATCGATTTTCTCTTTTGTTAATAACTCGCTAGATTTAACGTTTGTCGGTGCGTTTGCGGTTGCTTTTGATAGCCAATGCAACCTGTTACAACTCTACATTGAATAAATTCTACAAAATTGTTTCGCTTAGCTGTAGCAATGCAAAGAGAAAATCGATGAAGAGAATCGATCATCGCGTATAGGCCCTTATGCATGCTCACTGTCGAAATTCCTAACGACTGACGATAGTTTTCTATATTATAAAAAGTATTGCATCTGAAGCTGGAATGCCCCAAAAATGCAAAAAGTATGATAAATGTGCAAGTTTCCGTCAAATCGATTTGATGTCTTCGGATCACTTGTTGTAAGGAATAAGTGCACCGCAGACACCAAGACGATTAGACGGAAACTCGGACTTTAAAAACTTTTTTCAATAAGTGTAAACGCGCTCCAGTTTGGTATTAAATGCGCAACAATGAGCGATACTCCAAAGAGCGATCCATCCCTGCCATCAACTTTAGGGCTGATGTCCGTGGGTTAACTTCTCAAAATTTAAGAGCTTCCCTTTTTTAATTAACGAATGTATGGTAAACACCTGGTTCCTCAATACGCGTTATCGTCTGGGTTTAATGAAACCCTTGAAACAATATCTTGATAATGTCCTTCGGATGTAAAAAAAAAATGAACGCTGATGGACTTCATTTATCTACCTGTCGATAATCGGTAAAGGTATTGATGATGCCGACATTTTTATCCTACCACTTCTAGATCGACGTACCACTGTTCACGAAAGGTTGAAGAAACTGTAATGCCCGCATTACAAGCTGAACATTGCATTAGGTCTTCAGTAACATTGATCTATTGGAAGATTGCCGCAAAAGCTCAACGCAGATGTCGCCACCTCGGTCGCCACTGCATGATGATGATAATGTTGACAGACTGCATATAAAATTCGTGAAAATTAGCATTAAATCATAATTTTCATCAAGCCTGCGTGAAATCCTTCCAATATAACATTCGAATTGAAGAAGAAAATGTTTTCACGATCAGACTGATGTGCAGCTTTGACTTTTCCAGGTGAACTTTCATAAGATATATTGATTTCATTTCACGGCTCCATCAAGGCTGCATCGTAAATATGATGGTAAACAAAAGTAAATTGCTCAATTACTCAAAATAAAGATGATTTGTCATCTTGTTATCACTTTGAAGACCATCTAGCACCATTTTATAGTAAGGTGCGTGTTGAGTAAATCAAGCTCCGGTGCGTTTTTCGTCAAAAATTGTGAGTATCAATATGGTTGCTTAGAAAAGGCCAAAATGAGCATTTATTGAATTTTGGCGTCCCATACAACCAATTCTCTATTACCACCAGCATGATACAACCTTTCCTAAGTAAATTCACTTAATTTTCACTTTCATCTTAGTGAAAATCGCACATATTAACCATTTTCTGAAAAATGCAGCTGCGCAGGAGGTAACCTCTCCCTGTGGGTGCAAACTTGTTATGCATAATTTGCCATGAAAACATCTCTGATCCATACCGAAATAATAACAAATAGTTTTCAAACACGTTTTCTTACACGACTCAAGCAAAAGTTTCCACGGGAAATTATTAGTTTTTCTTTATGGACCGATTTGCCCCAAAAAGCGTCTGTTTTGCTTGGAAAATTTGGAAACTATCCTCCTTCTAGTAGTTCTCACTTCGAAATGTAGGTGGCGAAAGCTTGGAAAAGTTTCACTGCAAGACGCCAATTCTCTTCGTCGACTATCTCTTTCGTTAATAACTTGAGCACATAAACGTTTTTTGTTGTGTTGTGCTTCTTTTATCAATCTGTGTCAATGTAACTTAGGACCTAATGCAATGTTCAGCTTGATTAGTCAAGATGCAGACATTCACCCCTATTCTGTATTTCGTTTCGAACGAAATTCTCATACAAAAAAATATTTTTTTGTATGAGAATTTCGTTCGAAACGAAATACAGAATAGGGGTGATTGTATTAATAGAATTACACGGAATCTTTCACTGATCATTAAATGTTCGCCCATTGAGCGAGCATTTGAACAATATAAGCTAAACATTGCATTAGGTCCTAAGTAACATAGACACATTCTCTTCGTCGACTTTCTCTTTGTATCCCCACGGCCATGTAAAGAAATTCCCAGGTATTTTCAGCACACAGATCGATAAAAGAAGTTTTTATCTACCATTTAATACGACAAACACAACAAGAAACGGTTATGTGCTCAAGTTATTAACGAAAGAGAAAGTCGACGAAGAGAGTTGATCAATGTTACTTAGGACCTAATCGAAGACAACAAATCAAGAATGACTGGCAACTTTGCCAGAATGCAAGCGACAGATACAATAGCGCTGCACTTGAGTGAAGGTGGAAGCAACGCATAGAAAAATTAGCAAATACACACACCTTTCTTCTGAGAGTGAAACCTTTGCTATCAAATTCGTTCGAAGCATTTACCTTTGAGCGGCAGATGACGCGATTGTACCTGTCTCATAGCGTTCGTATAAGAAACTGGAAGAGTTGCCAGTCGACTTGATATGATGTCTTCGACCTAATGTAATGTCTAACTTGAATACTCTACAAGCGATAATCAAGAATATTTCAAAGGAATTTCAGAAGGAACATTGAAAGACAAGTTTAAAACAAGTTTCCGTTAAAAGTTCATTATATAATTTTATATAGGGGTAAGAGGGGCATAGTGAGCATCCCGTGCACCAGCTTGGATCAGCCGTTCGGGACAAATTGGTCATAATGATATGGCACCAGTTGATTTGTTTCAAGCAGCTGGAGATCCAGAGCCAAACTGCGGGATGCTCAATGTGCCCCTCCTCCCCCTATCCCCGTCGCATATATGTATGCAACCCAGATAGCGACAGGAAATGACCCATGACACAATACCAACTGACTATTGCTCTACCTCCCCTTTCCCAGGACGCGTGCCCTTGTACTTTGACTCCACGAAAAGCGTCAAACATACAATCCAACAGCCCCTAAAGCTGCAAATGACGGAACAAGTCTATGAAACTTACATTCAGAGGCAATGCCCTGCCCAAGTGACGTGCGTTGTACAGCACCACAGAATGAGCCTCATAGCGGAATACGTCTCCGTAAAAGATCGCGATAAAGCTATCAAGTATTGCCGAGTCTGCCTTCCTAAGGCAATCGACGCTTCTCAGCAAAAGCAACGATTCATCGAGCAGGACGTTCAGCATGAAATTTGCGATCGTTTTCAGAAGGATCCCTCGTTTGCCAATATGCTTCCGCCGGACATCATTTTATCAGCATTTTTCAGTGGCGTTCGTTTTAACTGCTACAGGTGGCGCTTTTTCAGCAGGCTACGGATGCCACAGCAGATGTATTTGATAGGCCAGAGATCCTATAGATTGAGGCTTCACAAAAGGGCCTTTAAAAGTGCGCTGAAACATTTTGGGGTGAAATGTACTTGCAAACCTCATGTTCGGATGTATTTCAAACAGCAAAAATGCACAGATGAATCGAATGCGCAACCAACGATAAAGGTGGCTGAACCGTTGTCCGGCGATAATCTCCGAAATGAAGTCGCAGTCCGCAATGCTACAAATGGATCAAATATTCTGCCATCGGTTGTTGCGGTTCAAGCACCAGCAGTTAACCTGCGCGTTCAATTCGCAGGTGACAGTTTCTATGATGATTCATATGATATCGATTTCAATCTTGGCATTGCATTTTGACTGTCCTTATCGTTTTGATTACTAATTGAATTTGATTTAGTATATATTTTTCATTTGTTTGCTCAAATGTTACGGACATTTTTAATTTTCTTTCTTCAAGTGAATTCGAGACAATAAAACCTTTGTTGTTTATCCTATAAGATCGTCCGCTTTTTTTTCACCAAACAAAGAAAGATTCGATCTGATGGTTACTGGTCATTGCAAAACTCTGATTAGCATTCAAACCCACAACGTCAAAAAAAACTACCCTATATCGACAGTGAGCATGCATAAGGGTGTATACGCGATGATCGATTCTCTTCATCGGTTTTCTCTTTGCATTGCTACAACCAGGGCGTCACAATATCAGCTTCAATCGACCAAATCGATGCGACGAAGAGACTGCTGGCTTTCTTTTTCTGTTAAAGTCGAACAGCTTCGCAGCATTCTAGAACCTCAGTCGGCGTGCACAAACAAATGTTCAATCGCTTGTCTCTCTTTCTCCCGTCGCTCCATTGGTCTTCCTTTCAAGCTTCGTCGAAATGGATGAGCGAAAGAGCGCTCGACTTTGATAGTTTTCTCTTTCATGAAACACATCAACAGAGGTTTCATGGCGTATATGACGGAAAATGAAATAACACATTTAAAGCATTTCTCACGTCAAAACACTTGAAGATTACACGTCATATTTCTAATTTATCTTCCACCCATATATTTATCTAAAAAAAATGATCGAAAACGGGACATAACGTATTTTAAACAAATTGAAAGAGCGGCGATAGAGTGTTCGTGAAAGGGGATTGAAAGCCATAATGAAGTTCGTTTAACTAGAAAATCGACGTTATTTACATTGAAAGCGATGAGCAAAGCAACGACGAGAAGTTCCACAGCCAGCCTTTCCTTCCAAGCGTCCTTCTTTTTTATTTTCGTTTCTTGCTGATAGTCTAGCTAGGCGTTATAGAAATGAAGCGTCGAACACGTATGTATGAGAGAAACAAAACA